GAGAATAACGAATGAAATACAGATCAAGCAAGTATTTGAATCTTGAAGGCTTCCCTGATCAAAACAAAAATACTCAACTGAGATGTTCATAATTCCAATACTAAACTATTATAAGGTGTATTTAAATCTCCAGCATGGGTATGAAATGCGCCAAATCTGATGAAATCGGAAACAAATCAGGTATGCGTCTCAACCCAAATAACCAACCGTCACAATGTTGTTTATTCTTGATGACGTCCAGTAGATCCTTTTTAGTTCCTAGGAGCTTAAGTTCAACTTTAGCTCCTAGGAGCTAAAATTTAACTTCAGCTCCTAGGAACTAAATATGTTGCCTAGCAACATACCTATTTTTGTGTCAGTAATAGAAACGTCAATTTAAGAGCTAATTTTGGTATCAAAATGGACGACTTTTGTGTCGGTTGCAGAAAAAATATTTTGCATTTTCATGATGAGAACGGAAGCAGATTCGTTTCCGAAACTCCCAAAGATAAGTAAAATTCGATATTTTTTCAATACATATTTCTTTCCTTCAAACATTTTCTCGAACAAAGTGTCACGCTACTGGATTTTGCTTTCAGGCTCCCTGAGAGAAAAATTTGTTAAACGCAGTGACATTTTAGGGCAAGTCATCTGATTCGTCCCACTACAAATATATTGAAATAACAAGAATATTTTTATTTTATAGAAACGAGGAGAGATAATCCCAAAAAATCAAGTACAAATGACATAATATTCTTTTTTTGATAAATATTCGGTGGTCGCGAACTCGGTTTACAAAATTTGATTCCCTTGTTTCTCGCACAGAGTGGTCGAGAATCAAATCATATCTTGAATTATTGTTTGAAAAATGTTTTTCTAAATACTGATTCATTTACATATCTACTGGTTAAATATGAGTTTGCGACCATCATATATGGCTTGAATATTATTCCTTCTACAACTACTTTATTGATGGTTGAAAACAAATGTAACCATATTCAGTTCATAACCTCTGTGATCAAGAACCAGTTGGAACTACATTTTGGATCTCGACCATATCATATCTGTTTATCTCTTTTATGTGTTAATATGAAATGAATTCTACATCAGAATATTTACAATATAGTACTTATTGCAGCAGCACAAATTCATAAGTTTGATTTATGTTGATTTTTATTGTACATAGCTCTTTTAGGAATCGAAAACAATGACAGGAGCAATGGCCATTGGGTTCTTATGTTTGGAAAAAGTATTTTGTAGGTCTCATAACATTATTTTTGCATCATAATCATCACATGTCAAGTGTTTCTCAATCATTCAATTTCCTCGTGGATTAATCTGATGTATACATTGATCAAGAATCAACATTGAAATGGTCGAGAACTCTACGGGATGGTCAAGATCCAGTGAAATTGTAGATTTTTTTTCTTTTATCAAGATAGCTAAAGTTTCTCTAAGCACCACAATCGCTTCTCCGAATATGTATTGATCGATTTCATTCGTTTTCTTGATTTCTAAATCTAGTCTTATGATATCGAAATTTTTCGAAGCTCGAATATATAAATATAACCTCTGTATAAATTCTAATTCTATAATAAATATGTCGATGCGAGGTCATCAAGTTCCTCATTTTATTTGTAAACGTCATTCTGTTCCCACCACCGTTACCAGAATGAAACAAATAAAACGAAACTAATTTCTATATTTTTGAGACATTCTTAAGTTCATCCTCCTGATGATTCATAAATATTTACAATCTTTCCACATTACTAAATCTTATCGGGTGTCTGATGATGGTCTGTGACCGAAACTAGTAGCATATTTTCCTATTTAAATTTTTTTGGTTAGCACGAATGAAAATATTTGGTTTTAGAACTTCTCAACTATTTGAGGTGCTACTGATATTGATATTGATATGATGATATTCCCATTCTCAGATGATATTTCTGTCGGATGACCACAATAAAAACCGCAGCACTTTTCTCCCCCAATTTCAATGGACAGACAGAAACCAATATATCAACTCACCAACTTCTGAATTATTTATCATAGTTATACGATGACTGATTGAATCTGCTCTGATAAAAGCTCGTATAAAAGCTTCAGAAACTGTATATGATGCTCCTACATCGTTTCGTTGAAGCTGACGTGGACCGTGGATAATCTGAAAATAAGTTGTTCCACCACTAGCTCTAGAACCTATCATTATTTAGTCCATTTGAATGCTTAAAGTGTGTTTTTACTACGATTCACGATATTCTCCGATTTGAGAGAGAATGTCAATGGGCTTATATCACGAAACATTTTTATTTCATAATTCGATAGAACTCACCCAAACTAGCTCACCACCGCAAACCGTTTCTTGCTGTGAGCTCCCTACGTTTTATAAAAAATTATTAAAATCCTCGATATTTCGGACCTCTGAAAACGAGGCGATGATGTGACCCCTAATACTGAAACAAGACTATTCCAGACAGAGATGAATAATACATGATTTATGGCAGAGTGAATTAGCGCGAGATCGCACTTGAAAGAATTAAAATATCAGTTGCCTCAGTCTCCGTCCGGCGTTTGGTATTTTCTTTTAACTATGGCGAGATGAGGTTTCTACGTCATGAGAGGGTCCGTTTTCAGATGGTACTATTATTTATGTCCAAAAATTGAACATTCCAGTGAATTTTTCGATCGAATTATGTCGTCAATCATTATTTATGTTTGGAAGGATCATTATAAACATGGTTTGAGTCAAAAGTTCTACTAAGGTATACACGCCCATTATCAATTTCAGAGGGGATTTTTCTCTTTTATGTTCTCCTTTTGGATGTTCAACAGATATAATTCAATGTTCGACATGGAAAATAGCCAGGAAAGTAGTTGTTTTCTGTTGAATATTCAGAATGGTATTATGTGCATATATGTATATTTTTATTTGAAGGAAAATGCAGATTCTCAATTTCAGAAAATTTTGTTTTCAAATTCTTAACGTGTATGTTGAATAGATGTAATTCAATGTTCGTCGTGGCATATAGCCAGGAAAGTAGTCGTTTTCTGTTGAATAAACCGAGGAAGAATCTATATTTTTATCACATATAGAAAATGCCAATTCTCAATATATTTCTTCATATATATATTCATATCCATTTTTTTGTACATAATTCATCTGAGAATATTCCTTTTATCATTCTGAATATTCAACTGAGAACAACTACTTTCCTGGTTATTTGCCACGTCGAACATTGAATTATATCTGCTGTTGGAGAGCCAAAAGGAGAGCATGAAAAATAAAAATCTTCTGAAATTGAAAATTGACATATTCTCCCTCAAATCAATTCAGAATTTTTTTCCACGTCCTGTATGATGAATATCAGTTTGTCATACATCCAAAAACCAATAAATAGTATAGATATCCGAACTGAAAAGAGGTAGAAAATAAAATAATATATAAGTGGGTTATTTATAAATACACAACATACATACACCTCCGTAATCTGTACATTCTATGATGTGTATATCAACAATCTTAAATTATTTATTTCATTTTCTTTTCCGTTTGGCTATTTATAAAAAGGTGTTTCTTCACTTCATGAAACTACTTTTTTTTAAATTTTTTAGTTCGGCTAACTACTAAAACGTGTTTTTTAGTATTCTTATATTTGTTTTGTTGGTATACCTACAAAATTTTGACAAAAGCATCATATTTTCCTATCCCAAAAACCCTCATATACTAATAGTTTATAGCATCGGATCATGTTTACAGAACCCGTCCGCCATATTGTATCCGCCATATTCATTTCTCCAATAACGACAAAAGCATCATAATCTACGACCCCGAGAACTCCCAGATACAAATTAATTGAATCGGATCTCGAATCATAATTACAAAACTCGTCCGTCATATCGGATCCGCCATCACGAATTCACCAATTTAAACGGAAAAATCATAATATCCGACCCCGAAAACCTTCAGATACCAATTCCAAATAGAATCGGATCAAGATCACAAAATTCGTCCGTCATATTGGATCTGCCATCTTGAATTTATCAATTTTGACTAGAGAATCCTAATGTCCGACCTCTGAAACTCACAGATACCAATTTCGAAAAGAAATCGGATCAAGATTACAAAATGCGTTCGCCATATTGGATCCGCCATCTTGAATTCATCAATATTCACAAAAGAATCATAATGTCCGAACCCTGAACTTACGGATACCAATTCACCTATATATACAGAGATACATGCACAGATACATACATTACATATATACAGGTGGACCTAATAGGGGGTTTGAAATCCAATATAACACTAGTAAATAAAATGTTATATGTATGTATCTCGGCCATAACTTTCTTTTATTGACCTAGACGTGTGAATATTCCTCGCTGTCTCTCGTGCTCTTACTTACACGCTGCGGTCCATAAAAGCTTACTTACGTCCTTGATACATAAATGACTATCATGGAATCATCCTGTCAACCTGACGAGTATATAACTCTCGATATAACTCCACTCTTAGTAATTTCTCCAAAATATTAATAATCATCTGAATTCACTTTTTTTACTTCAAAAGCTGAAATTTATCACCTTACTCGCAGATTCGTACTGATATTAATGAGAGCGCTCTGCTTCAGTAGTGAATATTTTCAATATACTTTTTTTGATAAAACCCAATACCCAACTTCTGTACCGAGTGTGTCCAAAATTGAGGCAATCAATAGAATGAGGGTATGAGACAATAAATCGCTTGAAAAATCTTGAAAATATACGCTCTATTTTTGAATAGCTGGCAACATTGCAAGAGTCAATCATTCTTGTGATTGTTCTGCTTCACAAAGTACAACAAACATTTCGTTTTTTATTTTCGTTACCTTTATTACTCATTCTCATTGCTTATTACTTTTATCGTCCCGATTTCGAAAAACACTCTGTACAAACTTTGATTGAAATATATTCACACGAGTATTCACATATTTTCCCTTCGATATGGGTAAAATTATCATAACAATGTTTTTATTTTTCAGATTACTGCAGTTCCTGAAATTGACCTTCGATCGCCAGGAAATCATCAACAAATCATGAAAATTTAAAACGCCAAATGGTCGAAAATGAATTAATGTAATGAACAATAGATTTTCCAATGGCACCATATGGAGCGAAAATTCAATAAATGATGGAAAATGGATATGAATCGGATGTGATATTGTGGAAAATGTGTTGACATATTTGTGAAGAACTCCGATTAGTGTATGGTTTGAAGTTATTGGAACTATGAGTGGTCCAACTGCACAACATGGGAAAATCCTGCTGATGGTGTTACTACTGGAATTGAGTCAAGGTGAGATGAAGATTCAATTTATTCATGATGGAGACGAAGAACACAAAATAAGTGTCTTCACTGACATTTTGAAGGATGGTTTCAAACACTCCACAATGTTCACACACAACCCCCTCTCAAGGAGGGCTGATGTACAGATTTGGTTGAAAAGGAGAAAAGTTGCGGTAGTGAAGTACCAATAAAATAACTTTCAAAAATCTCTGATATGACTCTTCGGCTTTAAGTGATTTCCAAAACACTGAATATTTCTGTATTTCCAATTTAATTTTCTCCTGGAGTTAATGATGATGTTATGACAAGACTTGAAAACATTCTCAAAAACATCTATATGGCATTTTTTGATGGTTCTCAATTTGGCATCATCGATTTCCTGTTTCAACGTTCCGTCTTTGAGTATTCCTCATCAACTTCGTTTTTTCCGAATACGGCTCTGATATTTACATTGTGATTTTTGATGTGTTTCGAGTTCATTTTTTCCATCATCAAATAATTTTTTCGAGGTTAATTCTAGTTGTGAGTTCCAAAACATTTCAGATGGCGGGACACTGTTTCTATTGTACTTATTTGTATTAAACTTTCATCATATCCCTTTTTTCTCCACTCGTGAAAGCCACTTCCGCCAAAAATACAGTGACATACAAAATAAACCTAATGTCATCATAAGTGTAACCATAGATTAACGACAAAAAAACCAGATATCATTGAGTATGACCATAGATTAACGACTAATCTATGGTGTGACAGATTGAAAATGAAACATCAAACTCAAAGCCTTCTATAATAATAATTAGTTTTATTGAATGTCTTCGATTATTCCAGAAAGAACGGCAACTTGTGATACACCATTGAAAAGAGAATAACAAGTTCTTTTCAAAACTAAAAAAATCTATTGGAAAAAATGATGTTGGTGATGGTGTCCAGGAGACGGAACGTCAGCAAATCTGAAAGCACCATCATGTAGTGAGGACAAAATGACGATGCAAATGTGCGGTTCAATTTGAAATGCTACAATAAATTGAGACAGAAAAAAATAAAATCATTTTTCCAAAATGTCTGGATATCTCCGGACATACTTTGGATTTCGAATTCGATTTCGAAACATTCTAAACAGGATATTGCTAGTTACGTAACTGCGCTACTTTGAAATTACCATTTGTTTTAGAATGATTCCTCATTGATATCAAAGAATAACACTCGGAATAACATGACTATTACTCGTTGAAAACGGTCTATCTAATAAGTAAGAATATATAAGGTCATTTCGTGAAGGAAATATTTCCCTGAGACTATATTTTAATCGAAGTATAAAATATTATATCTCATATCGTGATATGTATGCGAGGTAATATGTATATGATTTTCACGATAATCATATTATCGTGAAAATATCTATTACAACCTATTACTATTTCTATGTCAAATATCTTATTTTGTCAGGGCTCATATTATAACACTCATTGATCGTTAAAGGTATATTTAGCAATTCAGAAATTCAATTCAGAATTTCCATATCGAGATGGTAATCATAGATAATGCTGTGGTTTGATTGTCAACGAAATACCTAAATTGACAATAAACCATAAGCCAATATAGGAGTGCAATTATTATTATCGGAGTATGGTAGGTATATGAAAACCACAGATATAAATCTGGATAATACTATTCGCTGTGAGAGGTCAGTTTGAAAATTACTGTAGTATCGTACCTGTACGTATTACTGAAATCAATATTTATCAATAATACTTGATAATATGTTATCAATAAATGTCAATAATGACCACGGAAACTCGTAGATTGGTCAAAAATAAGGAAGTTTCAGTGATGAAAATTAAAAATAATATAATAAAATTTGGAGAACTGGTTATATTCAGAAAAATTGTTTCCACCAATTTGAAACAAAAACCAATTCACTTCATCACTAGCAAAGTCAAGTTCAACTTGCGGTTTTCCTTCTGTGATCGATCAAATGATGATCAAATGATAATTTGATGTGTGTTGCATACATTTGCCGTGATTACAAGCGAGTATCGAATACGTCGTTTGTACACTAGTCTTCAGTGAACATGTCGCGGTTGAACGGAATGAGCCGTTACCACCGAAACTTACATATTATACGAGCGCTCTCATTCCAGCGGTGATTAAGAGAGCTAACAAGTATCGGGGATAACGACTAACACCGTCCATGTGCGACATGTTCTCTTAATACGACTGTACAATATCTGAGTGTTTTTATTCATCAAAACGTTTGTGTTATTATGTTGAATGGCAACAGGGAATGAGATATACGTCAAGAGAATCAAGATGTCATACGCATCAGGTGAAAATCTAATTCCATACTTTTGATATTAGAATTTATAAACGATATCAAAGATGAATAGTTTCATCTCTTATACAGGGTGGAGACTTCAACTGAAATGAAAGTCGAGAGACACATCAACGGTTTGATATATTCACCTACATTTTGTCTCGCATTTTGCAAGCAATATGAAGAACATAACCCTCTGTGGGGAGCAGAAATCGACCCCAACATGTTCCTTTTCAAATGCAACCCTATTACTTGTTGTCCCTTATCGGAAAGCTGGTTGAAACAGGAATCCAGCATACTGATTGAATTTCAATTTGAAGTACGTTTCGAACTGTGAATACGGCATAAAAAACTAAATTTCTTTCTGCGACTTCCCCTAAAGATAATATCCGATGGACCAGTGTGAAACTCAACATGTAGATATGAGTCACAGTATAATCACGGGCGTAAGGGTCTTTACTGGGTGAGAATCTCGGTTAGAATACTTGTAGTGTGAGCATCACACGAGTTTTACACATGTCCATCAGATATTATCTTTCGACGAGGGGGGAAATATTCTCGGAAATATGACACGCTCTGCCACTAACTTAGATCAGTTTGAATCGCGGCACATTATATTGTTCCCTCTTATTTCATTTTTGTTTCGGCTCAGACTGAGTATTGGCACAGGTAGGTTTTTGAAGTCTATACAGGGTGTTTCATGAGAAGACTCACATAGCCAAATGATTAATAGGGGAAATCAAGACGAGTTGATGTATTTATATGAAAACATTTTTTGGCCCCCCAAAACTAAGATACAGGGTATTATGTGAAATTGCTATATAACTTTGATGGTCGATATTACGAAAAGGATTCGTCATAATCTGCTGAAATTTGGCAGCGACGTTCCTCTACTGAAACTATTCAAGATAACATATTATGAAAAAAATATCCAGGTCCGGACTTGGTAAAATTTTATATTTCATTGTTATGTCAAAAAAGTTCACTTTGTGACCACTTTTCTCAAAAAATCCCATCAGATTCAGAAAGATCAGACAAAATGCTATAGGAACTGCTCTCAAATTTACACAGCACACTTTGACCGGTTCAACAAAAAAATATGGAACAAAAACGTTCGAATGAATTTTCAATTTCGACCTGGCTGATAACTCTAAACTTTTAACTGGATTCGTGTGAATTGATTTTTTGTACATTTTCATTGTATAGAAATTGACAGAAGAGATTAGTACTGATTCTTTTATGATTTTACATGTTAGTTTTTGACCGAACTTCTAGATAGATATGATTACTCGTGACTCTATTTTATAAATTTATCATAAAGTGGGCCCTGTTTTCATTGTATGTAACATGACGTTTGTTGATAGGTAAACACTGGTAATCGAAATATTCTTACACTCTAGGTGCCACTTCATATTCCAAATGCTGAACAAGACGAAAAAGTTTAAAACCATAGAATATTCCCAGACCCAAGAATACGTTGCAGAAAAACCTTCACGATGATGAACATTAGGAATTTTGAATAAATAGCAAATGCATATCCTTATATCACTTGCAGAAGTGTATCAATAACAAAAAATGTAGCTAAGTTTATGCGTGATGGCATAACTAATTTGATAAATCACCATAATATGGGCACATGAATCCTCATGTCGTAATTTCATCAGTTGGTACCTACCTAGTACTAGGCTAGTACCTACCTATCAGTTCGGATTATCAACAAACGTCACGTCTCGTCACACAAATGAAAAACTGGACCTACTCGATATCTCAGTTCAAGCGACACCCATAAAGCAAAGTCAGGAATAATAATATCTATCTGGAATTTCGATAAAAAAATATCGTGTTTTTTCTTCTCGTCTATTCTTCTGTCAATTACTATTCAACAAAAATGTAGGAATAATCAATTCACATGATACCAGTTGAAAGTTGACAGTTATCAGCTAGGTCGAAATTCAAAATTCATTCGAACGATTTTGATCCATATTATTTTATTTAACCGGACAAGTGTGCCGTGTAAATTGAGGAGCAGTTCTCATAGAATTTTGTCTGATCTTTCTGAATCTGATGGTATTTTTCGAGAAAAGTGGTCACAAAGTGAACTTTTTTGACATAACAATTAAACATAAAATTTTCCCAAGTCCGGACCTGGATATTTTTTTTCATAATATGTCATCTTGAATAGTTTCATTAGTGATACGTCGCTGCCAAATTTCAGTAGATTACGACTAATCATTTCTGTACTATCGACGATCAAAGTTATATAGCAATTTCACATAATACCCTGTATCTTCATTATGGAAGGTCAAAAAATGTTTTCATATATATACATCAACTCGTCTTGATTTTCCCTATCAACCATTCGGCTATGTGAGTCTGCTCATGAAACACCCTGTATACCATTCAATTGGTAACGGATGGCATAATTCTCAGCTCGTTATCAAGTAGTGAAATCGAGTGCGAATTTCCGCACAGAAATGTGCATTTTATCAATCATTCTGCTCAAGATTGTGATTGGCACAGGTGCTGTTCGATAAACTACAATGTTCTTACATTCCTTTAAAACATACAGTGTGACCCACTTCTAATGGAACCACCCATGTATCTTACGTAATCGTTGGGTAAGGATCCTGAAATTTGCTGGAGCGAGAGATATACCAAAAATGCACTCTATGACCAAGTGGGGTCATCTTCAGTG